CCCCCAAAACCCCAAAACCCCAAAACCCCAGAAGTTAAACAAAATATTGAAATCTAAAATGCAAACATTCTTTGGAAATTACTGGGGTTGTGCAGACCAGTCAATCTTTACAGAAAGTTGTAGATGGGGAAACCTTCAATATGGTGAAAACAAGGGGAACTTTTGCCAGAATGAAATGTACAACGGCATAAATCAGTTCTCTCTAGACATTCATATTGAGGGTAATCATTCCCAAGAATTCTCTCAAGGAGCCTGAAATTCAGAGATGCTTCCACAAGACTACTTTAATTACCAAAATCATATGAGAAAGCAGAATGTGTATGAAAGGGATCCATTCTTTTGTTCTTTACCTCCTGAAGAAAGATATCGTATAAAGCTTAGTAGAGCTAGAGATGAAGATGAACTTTCTGACTACACCAGAGTCATACATAATTTAGCACCTTTTATGTATGGGTATAATGAGGAAGAGATTAGAAAGACCGGCTTTTATGGAATCCAGAACTTTCCTTTCCATTTATTAGGCACTCAGAATGCCCAGATAGACCAACAAGAAATTATAACAAATGACTTTAGTGACTATGACACCACTATGCAAGATGATTGAGATAACATGTCTTGCACATCGGAGTTTTCAGAATCTGGCAATGCTATAATGAAGCAGAATAGTCACTCTAATTCTTCTTGCTCTTTTGGAATTTTTAAGCAGACCCAAGTTAAATCAGAGGATACCAACATGACAATACAAAAACTCCGTTTTGATGAAGCCACAGACACTAATTTCACTATGAGCCCTCCAAGACTTGGAAGGATACAGGATAAGAAACATGTGAGATGTTACTTTAAATAATCCATCTTAATTTTGCAAAATTCTAAGTTTAACTTACAGCTGACTATCATTCTTCTTTTATACTTTGAGTGATAATACTTAACATTGAATTACAGCTCCCATTATCTATTCCTTGTATTACTCAGCATTATTGATACCCCACAATACTTGTCTCTAAGTGTTTCAGTTCCTATCAGCATTTCGGGATGTCTGTCATTAGAAATAATTACTAAATATGGGTTTAATTATAGATACTATGTTTAGACTCTTAGAAGGGGTTTTGGGGTTTTGGGGTTTTGGGG